TGTGTCCATTCATTTTGCACTGGAGGAATGTTTACCCAAAATAAAAGAGATCCCTTGCTAATTAAATTACTSTTATAATTTTGTTATAAGAAGTGTAAGACTGAACCCTTACAACAGTTATTTTCCATTGAATTTAACCCTTTTCCATGGCCACGTTTAGTCACTTGACTCACCCGGGCCTGACTCGATGACAACCGGGTCCAGCAACAGGTCCYCACTTCGGCTCTCTCTGTAGCAAACCAGCCAGTGCTCATAGGCCAGCAGACAAGGCTGATGACTGGAGCTCAGCAGGCATGTTCTGGAGCACCAGTGGCAGAAAACTAATTCATCTTATGACAAGAAATGATAAAAGATTCATTACTTTWGGTCAGACTTTGAAACTGTTACGTGGATCTGTCACACTCAGAGTACATGTTGGGAATGACTCTCAGCTACTGCCACATCAGCGCTCTTATTTTTATTTTTTATGTGGGCTGAAATTTTCTTTTGTTGTTGTTGTTGTTGGTTGATTTTATTTTATTTTAAATTTTGTAATAAATGTATAAAATCTTAAAGACCTGCCCAGGTGTCCCCGTCTCTCCTAGTGTCTTCTGAAGGTACCAGCTGAGCTCACCTGACCCAGAACAGAAGAGAAAATGGATGAAACATTTGGTTTCCATCATTCTGAGAAGAATAAAAAAAAAATCCCTGTAATGAACGAGACCAGCCTCCAGCTTTTGGTGTCTAATGAATATTCAGAGTAAATAAAACTAATCTAAATATTTATTATCAGATWCAGCTCAGTTGTTTCTGATGGATCAGTTGGGCTCTGTCCTGTTTTTGTACTTATAGAGTTGTTCTAAATTGTTACAGTAATGTGTCAAATCATCTGTATGCTGATGATATATGATTGTATTGTAACAGTCTGTAATCAAACTATGGCTCAAAAAAAAAAAAAAAACTACCTGCAGTTAAATGCCCCTGATGATAAAATAAATCCCTGTAATCAGGCAGAACCTTGCTTTTTGAACTCCTGGAAAAATAGTCTCTGAAATCTGGGTTTTGTCTTTGACAGTTTCTTGTCTTTTGACAATGATTGTAAAACATTAGTTCATAACTGTTCGATTTAAAAAAAATTTCAAAACTGAGACCTTTTCTGTCACAGAAGGAACTAGAGATAATTGTTTACACTTTTCTTTCTTCTCGTTTTGATTACTGTAACATCCTTTGTACTTTAAACAAATCCTCTTTGGCTCGTCTTCAGTCTGTGCAGAACGCTGCAGCGAGGCTGTAATGACTCACAGGAGTACGCACATGACACCTGTCACAGCCTCTCTGCGCTGGTTACCTGTGACTTTGAGGAATCATTTGAAAACGTTGGTTTTAAGCTTTAGGGCATTTTAATTCCATTCAGTTTATTTATATACGTTGTCTCAGGGCACTGTACCCCTCACACCCCCCACCCCAACAAAAACAATAAATCTAAAGTCAGCAGATTGCGTTGAATCACTTCATCACAGTCTCCTATTCTGCTCATTGGTAACAGTGGAGAGGAAAACTCCCCCATAACAGGAAGAAACCTCCAGCAGAACCAGGCTCAGGACAGGTGGCCATCTGCTGGATTTGGGGACAGGAAAGAGACAGACAAACAGAAGTGAGAGAGGATCCTGATAACTGAAAGCTCTGCCTCCCATTCTACTTTTAGAAACTGGAGGAACCACAAGTAAACCTGCAGTCTGAGAGCGAAGTGCTCTGTTAGGAAAGTATGGAACAATAAGATGTTTAATATATGATGGAGCTTGGTTGTTAAGAGTTTTGTATGTTAGAAGTAATATTTTAAATTCTATTCTGAATTTGACAGGGAGCCAGTGGAGAGAAGCTAAAACTGGAGAAATATGATCTCTCCTTCCAACTCTCATTAAAACTCTAGCAGCAGCATTTTGGATTAACTGAAGACTTCTTAAAGAGTTTTTTGGAGACCAGATAATAAAGAATTACAGTAATCCAGTCTAGACGTGATAAATGCATGAATCAGTTTTTCTGCATTATTTTTGGACAAAATATTTCTAATTTTAGTAATATTACGCAGGTGGAAGAAGGCGGTCCTGGTAACATTTTTAATGTGGGGTTTAAAAGACATGTCCTGATTAAAAATAACACCAAGGTTCTTTACATTAGAACTGGAGGCCAGATTAATGCCATCCAGAGGAGGTGAAAGGCTACAAAGTTGATTGCTTAGATGTTCAGGTCCAAAAACCATAATCTCTGTCTTTTATCTGAGTTTAGAAGCAGAAAGTTAAGATTCATCCATGTTTTTATGTCGTTAAGACGTGCTTGTAGTTTAAGTAACTGGTTGGATTCATCAGGTTTCATGGATAAATATAACGGAGTATCATCAGCATAACAATGGAAATTTATCCCATGCTGTTTAATAACTTTACCAAATGGAAGCATACAGTATATAAAGTAAAGAGGATTGGTCCAAGCACCGAACCCTGAGGAACTCCATGACTAACTCTGGTGTAAGAAGAGGATTCATTATTAACATTAACAAACTGAAATATATCAGTTAAATAAGACTCAAAAACCATTTTAGAGGTGTCCGACCCACAAATACATATTGGACTTTCTGAAGCCTCTCTGTCCATCCAGGACTTTGAGGTCTTTAAATCAAATTGAACTGGTGGTATCTCAAACCCATTACAAAACCAGGGAGACCGAGCATTTCAGGTGGTGGCCCCGAAGCTCTGCAACACTCTGTCCCTTCATGCTTGGAGTCCTTCTCACTCTTTTAAGAAACATCTAAAAACATTTTTATCCAGACAGGATTTGTTTTCTTTAAATTGTTCTTGATTGTATTTGTTGTCTGTTTTTATTGTTTTTAGTTTTTGCTTTCTTTGTGAAAGGGGCCATAGAAATAAAGTTTGATTATTTTAATCTAGTCTCTCTGCTAAAGAGCCATACCTTGTTGACTAAAGTCCCAAATATGCATCTGAGAAATAAAAGCACCAGGAGGTCTGGGGAGTGGTCATTGCATTCAGTTTCTACAGTGTTAGTTGGTGTTCAGTTTGTAGGAGGCAGGTTAAAAAATATCCTTTACTTCTGGTTTAGAAAAGACAATCAGCTGATTTCAAATCAATATCACATGAAACAACATCTGGTGAAAGTCAGAGAAAGACTGGGGAGGTTAATAACCTGTGAAACACGATAGTGGCAGCATCATGTTGTGGGCTTTTGTGGCTGTTCCAGATCTCACTTTATTTTGGTCCAACATCAGAACCCTACATGAAGATGAATAAAGACACACAGGCTGGTTGCAGGAGACTTTATTACTTCCTGACAGTGGTGACAGAGGAACAGCGGCCTACAGTTTGGCTTTAGTCTCTCAGGACCACGTGTCATTCTGGTTCAGTTTGCATGGATCCTGACGAGACGTTTCCACAGACCTACTGAGAGCCCAGTGTGTATTCATAGTGCAGGGTGCCTCCTTTTTCCAGATAGCAGTCGTGTTTGTGGCTGCCTGACTTGATCTGACGCTGGCAGACCCCCAGCAGGTCGTCGAAAACCAGGTCGCTGTCGTAGACCTCCAGCCTCAGGACGTCGTTCTCCTGAGCCTGAAAGTGGGTGAACTCCTCGTCCCACCAGGGGTTCACCGTGTCCCAACGGATCGAGGTCTTACCCAGACTGGCCGCAGCGCAGAACACCTTCACGTAGCCGTCGGTGATCCCAAGTATGTCCCAGGGTAGACCGGTGGCCTGCAGGTTGAACAGCCGGAGCTGAGCCTGAGCCACGCTGAGACTGGACAGGACCAGCAGGAGGAGCGAGAGGTTGGAGGTCATGATGATGATGATGATGATGATGATGTCACCAGAGCTGAGGAACAGGATCACATCAGAAAATACTTAGAACTGGACTTTAAAGGACCAGTCTGGTCATTTTAAAAGTGATCTAACAGTTCTCGTGACTCAGAGAGCTGAGTGTGGACCTAAAGAGACTGAACCACGGCCTGCGGTCTTAGGTTTCAGGTCCAACACACTGCTGTAGAAGAACTCTACATGGACTAATAATAAAGACCTAAAGTTCTGCTTCACACAGCTGCATCATCTGGAACTGAGTTCACCCCACTACGTCATCAGTGAGAAAATAAAGCCAATCATTGCTTTCTGCAGGTTTCATTCAAGTCCATCCAATCCATGTTCAGGAGATATTTTGCTAACAGACCCAGGTGAAGACATTTATCACATGGCTTCATTTTAGTAGCAGGTAAAATAATGAAAATAAAAACACAGTTTTCAAAGACAACAGATAAATTTAAAGAACAGAAAAGCGTCTCACCTTCAGAGTTGGACCTTCAGGTCTGGGTGGTCCACACCTGTTGGCTGTATTTAAAGACTCCTATCAGACTGATAAAACTGTCCAGTCTGCTCTGTTCCCAGCATTACATAACCAAACAGAACCTCATGGTGCTGGGGGGCTGCTGGTCCCTCTCAACATCAGGTCCRGCTGCTCGGTGGAGCAGCAGTCAGCACCGTCACATTACAGGAGGGCGGTCCAGGTCCCAGCTGGACCGCCCTCCTGTAGACCAGAAACACATGAGATTGCAAACTGCCCTGAACTGTGTGTGTGTGTGTGTGTTTGTGTGTTTGCTTCCTGGTGGAGATGATTTTGACCATTTTCCTGGTAGACACAATCTGGTGAGGACCAACTGTTTCCTATGGGGACAAAATCCCGGTCCCCATTGGGGAAAATACTGTTGATGGGTCAGGGCAAAGTTCCTATGAGGATAAAAGAACCAAAATGTGTGTGTGTGTGTGTGTCCTTGTTTTTCCTGCATTGTGGGGCCCAGTTTTAAGGAAAACGCAGCCTCGTGGGGTCTGGGTGCTCCTTGGGCCCCATAACTTCAGAGGCTGATTTTGGATTGGGGGTTGGGTTTAGGACCAAGGTGTGAATTGAGTTTAGGTTAGTTTTAGGGTCAGGTA